TAGTTCATTTGGTTAAAGAATCTATATCCTCTTATCCTGTTTCAAGGAGTCTACTGCTGTTTCCTGTCCCAGTTTGCTTGATTAGTGTATATGCATACTTGAATCCTGGTATGGTGTCCGGCCACTACTTTAGTTTCCTAATCTCAGGCGGGACTATAATTAAGAATACCATGTATATGTCACACCAATGAAGTTTCTGCTCCTCCGAGACGAGGAACCCTTGCCTAGGGATGGCAAACGGGCGGGGCGGGTACGGATACCCCCTTCCCCATCCCCATACCCACCTAATATTTTTCAATCCACCACCCGCTCACCACATATGATGGGTACAAATTTTCAAATCCACACCCGCCCACGCGGGTACATTTTCAAATCCATTCCCACACCCACTACCCACTAGCGACATACCCATCTAGACCCCCCTGACAGCAAACTAATGGGATGTTGGAGTTGGTTCCCAGACAGTTCGTGATGGGGTAGCAGCGCATGCTTCAATTTGTCAGAAGAGTGGCTCTACGAATGTTATGGAGACAGATTGTAGGGAGCATGTAGTCGCAGAGCTGGATTGTTGTGTTGCTTTCGATGTTAATGCTCATAGTGCGCCTAATATGGGTTTTAAGGGGTTAAAGAACATGAAAACTGTTGCTTTTGATGTTAATGCTTATAGTACGGCTAATTTGTGTTTGGATGGGCATCATGGGCTAAAGAACATGGAAAGTGACGTGATTAGTGGGATTATGGGTTTAATCAAAGAGTCGAATATTTCCCTAATTAAAGACCAGATTAAAGACTAAATATCCTTAATATTTGGTTAAATTATATGTTATATATTATATAATATTAAAATTTATAAATTAGTCTCTAAAATTACACTTAAATTTATAATGGTCCAAAATTTAATAGATATTTAGCTGGGCGGGTGGATGCGGGGCGGGCGGATGCGAGGCGGATAATGTCTCAAACCTATTACCCGCCCACCACCCACGACGGGTACTACTTTATAAATTCACACCCACCCACTACCCGCTAAAATTATACCAATTCCTGCTCCAATTGGAGCGGATGCGGTGCAGAATCCACGAAACTGTACCCGTTTGCTATCCCTACCTTGCCCGTATCCCTGGAAATCATTACCGGCCTGCATGTACTCGTGGATGTTCAATGAAAGCTGCAACAGCTGCCTTCATCTTAAGCAACACCTCTTCAACCATCCCATGGTTTATCATCTATCAATTGGTATATATTTTTTTTCATTACAGAAACAGGACTAAACAAAAAAAAAACTAACACAGTTCTGTTCTGCTAGATTTACGTGAAAAAAATCCCCAGTGTTCGCAAGCAAGGTCTAGTTTCCTTGTTTCATCTTCATCTCCTTTAGCTAACAAGCCAGAATCTATAATTGGAATGTCAAATGAAGATGGTTCCATATCAGGAACCAGTGGCCTATCTTTGTGGTGCTGTATTTATTATATATTAAGAAGTATATAGGAAATCAAAACCCACCCACCCCATCTAGCTTTAATATTTAGCAGACTCTAGAAATTTTCTTCTGTATTGAAATTGTTTTGTTCTTAATTCGCATCGTTGCCATTTTTATGCTATTTTATATTACGTTTTGTTCTAGTTTTTAGTGGCAACGAATGGTTGCTGTCAGAGTAACAACTTCATTTGGAACATGGAAGACATAAACAAGCTTCAATTGAAAATTTATGGGTTCATCTCAACATACAAATGACGACAATTAAACATGGACTAACTAGAATCAGCTGCTTTGTATTTTTAGAATGTTGTCAATGTGAGCTTTGCCCTCCATTTTCCTTCCTAATGTGTACCTAACGTAATCAAGGTACTTGATGCTTCTATACATTCGAAGCCAATGATCGTCCACCATACACTCCATAGGACCGATCTCCAGTTCATCGTATGGAATCTTAATGGTTGCAAGTGAAACTCTTGCTTTCGTCTCATTTGTGATTGCCCTGTGCTCAACGCTTTTGTACACCCCATTGCTCAGAATCTGAAGATACAAAACGAAGGAACGCCTTTAAATAAGAGCACAGTAAAGTCAGGCCTAAGACTTCAAAAGACTGGAACTGTGAGTCTCTGAGTACCTCCAGAACATCACCAACATTCACCACGATAGCGTTACGAATCGGCTTAACTAGAATCCATTTGTTTTTATGCCGGATTTGGAGGCCGGGAATCTCATCATCTTGCAAGAGTAATGTTATGATATCTGGATCAGAGTGAGGGTTAATACCAAGGACAAGATCAGGCCTTGAACAAGGTGGATAATAGTTCATTCGCATAGCTTGTTTAGTCCTGCCGTAGAACCTTTTCAGACCGTCTCTATCAATGCCCATAAGTAGTGATATGTTGTCACATATCTCGTCAGCTACCTTTTGAGCTCCTTCTGAGTACCTCTGTACAGCATCCCTGCGTAAATGAACATAATTCAGATCCAGACCCTGAGGCAAGTCTATATATGCAGAAAAGAAAGAAGGCATACTTGAAACCTGGTATGGTGTGTGGCCAGTACTTTAGGTTCCTAATCTCAGGCGGGAGTGTAATCAAGAACATCATGTCACACCAATCGAGTTTCTGCTCCTCCGAGACGACATATTGTTGCCCATATCCCTGGAAATCGGTTCCGGCCTGCACGTACTTGTTCTTTTCTTGCAGTGGAAGTTCAAAGAAAGCAGCAACAGCTGCCTTCATGTTAAGCAACACCTCCTCTGCCACCCCATGGTTTATTATCTGTCAAGATTGCATATATTTTCGTTACAGAAACACGAGTACACAAAATTGACAAAGTGATATACCTGAAAAAATCCCCAGTGTTTGCAAGCAAGGTCTAGCTTCCTTGTTTCATCTTCATCTCCTTTTATCTAACAAGGCAAAATCTATAATATGAATATCAAATGAAGATGGGGCCATATCAAGAACCGCTGGCCTATCTTTGTGGTGCAGTACGTACTTTTCAGGAACCGATTGAGGATCATTTCTTACCAGCTCTTGGACGCTTGGAACCGGCAGGGATTTACCCCAATCACTTCCTTTATCTTCCTCACTACCTATATTTTCCATTTCAACTTTTACTCACATTTTCTTTCCCCTTGTACACTCATATATTACTTCAGATGTTGACCAAAAAGCTTTGGCATTTTGCAGGAACAATTTATCAATCTTAATATTGAAATATAAAACTCCAATTGGCCAGATTGCCCCGCTGACTAAGTTGCTATTTAGTAACATGTTGGACTTTCCCATAGTTGTAACTTGCAAGGCACATTAAAATATTAGACATTGGATATAAAATACTATTAAATTTGTCGGGATAATGCACTGGAAAGGCGAATTTGTTTATATGAAGTGTTGAAGAGATTATCTTTTTCAAATAATACATTATCTTTTAATTGAATTTAATTTTCAATCTTTTAAAAACATTACATCTTTTTAAGAAAATATATTAAATAATTAAAGTTCATATAATAAGTTTAATTAAATTGAAAAATAGAAGATTAAATGTAATTATAAAAATTGAAGTCAAATAACAAAAAAGTTTGAAACTAAATTTATAATTACGTCTAATTATATAACTTTTAAGGGTAAATTATATAAATAGTCCCCTAACTTTTAGGACGCTTGCATTTTGATCACTTAACTTTTAAAACTTACAATACAGTCATCAAACATTTAATTCGTTTTCATTTTGGTCCCTACCGTTACCTCCGTTAGTTTTTGCTGACGTGACACTTAACTCCAGTTAACTTTTCCTTCTTCTTCTTGATTTAGGGTTCAGGTGAAAAATATTAGGGTCCACCCAGTCCATAAAGTTGTTGTATGTACATATCTATATCTTATTCTCTTATATCCTTTGAGCATCAAAGTTCAAACTATATGCAACAATTCTTCAGAAAATGGAGCAAGGAAAAGAGAAAGGAATGACGGTAATGAAAAGATTGAGAGGGAAGGAGGATGTCCAATCTAGGTTAACCATTTTCATCACAGTTTCCTTTATCTCCATTGATTTCTTTCATTTGTTTTGTAGCTAGAGGATATTGCATCTAGTTATTGGTTCATAGCTCCATATAAGCCCCTAAAAGATACCAGTTGTTGACTGCTATAAAGGACTTGTTTTAACCGGTAACTGTTGAAAGGAAGATTAGTTGATTATGTACTGTGTTGTGTTGTTAAAGAGAGAACAATCATTGAAATTTTTGTCATGTTGAACTAGCTTATTTCCTTATCAATTTTGAAGAAGAAGAAGAAGAAGGGGAACTTAACGGAGTTAAGTGTCACATCAGTAAAAACTAACGGTAGGTAACAGCAGGGACCAAAATGAAATTGAACTAAAAGTTTGATGATTGTATTGTAAGTTTCAAAAGTTGGATGACCAAAATGAAAACACTCAAAAAGTTTGGAAACTATTTATACACTTTACCCAACTTTTAACGTTATTTATTGGAAATTACTATATAAAAATTTATGAACACAGTTATGCATTTTTACAATATTTTTTATATTAATTGTTATTTCTAAAATAAACTTATCAATCCTAAAAAAAATCATTAAAATGAAGAAACAACAATTTAAAATATAAAAATATAAATTATTTCCATTGGTAACATCAAATTATGTATTCAATAAGAAAAACAATTGCTTAGTTTTAATAAAAAAAAAATATTTGCACCGCAGAGATTTTGGGGGCAGATCAGTAATTATAGACAAACTAACCGGGTTATACTTATAGGCCTAACCGATCCATCAAGTCGCCTAAATCTCGGTTTAATATTCCCTAGCCAACTCGCTTAACTCGGTTTTGCAGAAACCAATTCAAAAGAATTACGATCAGCTGTTTCCCTTTAATAAAATTTAGAATTTCTAAAAATTTATTTATTTAAATGAAGAAAAAATTATTTATTTTCAAATGTTAAAATATATATATATATATAGTATTTTTTTTGTTTTATATAATCCATCCGGCTTTATCCCAATACCCTAACCGGTCTATCCGGTTTCCTAACCCTCGGTTTTATTATTTCCGTCATCAACTCCCTTGACTCGGTTCTCATTCAATTGCCGCTCTCTCCCAGAAAGCAATTCAAAAGGATTGCAAGTAAGTTGTTTTTCTTTTTTCCCTTTTTTAATTTTAATTTTATTATTGGGTAGTTTTATAGTAACATGTTCGTTCCAATTTCTTTTAATTTTAGGTTTCCCATTTACGACCTAAGGCTTATAATTCTGTCAAATGCAACTGTTTTAATTTTTTCCTTTGATGAGTTCAATGTAAAAATGTTTACTGTTTGTTGTTGTTATTATAATTGTGTTGAATGTTTGATCTTGTTTATGTTAAAGGTTGTGATTTGTGGGATAATGTCATCAAATTTGGAGCCAATACCAATAACATCACAAAAACATGACCCGGCATGGAAACATTGTCAAATGTTTAAGAATGGTGAAAAGGTACAATTGAAGTGTATATATTGCGGCAAAATCTTCAAAGGAGGTGGGATTCATAGGATTAAGGAACATTTGGCTGGTCATAAGGGTAATGCTGCTACTTGTTTGCGAGTCCCGTCCGATGTTCGTGTTTTAATGCAAGAAAGTTTAGATGGGATTGTGGTAAAGAAGAGGAAGAAACAAAAGATTGTGGAGGAGATAACGAATGTTAATCTGATCTCTACTGAGACAAACGCATTTTCCGATCAGGTTGATGCTAATCCTGGAGTGCTTATGATCGAAAATCCTGAGATAGTTGAGCCTAGTTCAAGTTTGTTAGTTAGTCGGGAAGGAACAAGTAATGTTTCCGGGGAGAGGAGAAAGAGGGGAAAAGGTAAAAGTTCGGCTGCTGAAGCTAATGCACTTGGTTTTCCCCTGGTTGAGTTTGGTGCAAGGAGAGTAAACAATAATATACATATGGCTGTAGGCAGATTTTTGTTTGATATTGGAGCAACTCTGGATGCAGTTAATTCAGTTTATTTCCAGCCAATGGTTGATGCAATTATCTCGGGAGGAAACGGGACACTAATGCCTTCACGTAATGATCTTCAGGGTTGGATATTGAAGAAATCGATGGAAGAAGTGAAAAGTGATAATGATAAAGTGATTGCATCATGGGTGAGGACTGGTTGTTCTATTCTGGTCAACCAATGGAGCACTCAAACAGGTCGAAGCTTGCTAAACTTTTTGGTGTATTGTCCTGAAGGAACAGTGTTTCTGAAATCTATAGATGCTTCTAGTGTAATAAATTCCTCGGATGCTTTGTATGGATTACTTAAGCAAGTTGTGGAAGAAGTTGGATTTAAGCATGTCTTGCAAGTGATCACGAATTGCGAGGAACAATATATGGTTGCTGGGAAGAGGTTAGCCAAAACTTTCCCTACTCTGTATTGGACCCCTTGTGCAGCTCATTGTGTAGACTTGATACTTGAAGATTTTGCGAAAGTTGAGTGGATCAATACAATAATTGAGCAGGCTAGATCTATAACAAGATTTATCTATAATCATAGTGTGGTCTTGAATATGGTAAGAAGATATACTTTCGGCAATGATATTGTTGAACTGGCAGCCACTCGGTCAGCTACAAACTTTACTACATTGACTCGGATGGTTGATCTTAGAAACAACATGCAGGCCATGGTTACTTCACAGGAGTGGGTAGACTGCCCCTATTCAAAGAAACCAGGGGGACTGGCGATGTTGGATTTAGTGAGTGATCAGTCATTTTGGTCCTCTTGTGTTCTGATTGTCCAGTTAACCAATCCTCTCCTCAGAGTTCTAAGAATGGTTGACAGCAGTAAGAGACCTGCGATGGGATATGTTTATGCTGGAATGTATCGGGCGAAAGAAGCAATTAAGAAAGAATTAGTTAAGAGGGATGATTATATGGTCTATTGGAATATTATCAATCACTGGTGGGAACAACAATGGCACTATCCTCTTCATGCTGCTGGTTTCTACCTTAATCCCAGTTTCTTTTATAGCATGGAAGGAGACATGCCTACTGAGATGTTGTCAGGGATGCTTGATTGCATAGAGAAATTGGTTCCCGATGTAACAGTTCAAGATAAAATCAGCAAGGAGATAAACTCATACAAGAATGCTGCAGGAGATTTTCAGAGGAAGATGGCAATTAGAGCTAGAGACACTCTACTCCCTGGTGAGAGTCCATTGTATAGATGCTTTCTAATTTTTGGCTGCTATATTTCAACTTAAATCATTTATTATAATCCATGCTTTTAGTAAGGGTAGTTAGTAGATTGTTTTTATTTCCTGCTAAATTGCAAATGAATTTTCAGCGTATCCCAGAAATGTGAAGTCAGAAAAATGTTGTCTTTCATGCTTTGGTTGGATAAGATGTTGATATGGCCAAGGTGCGGCAATTATGACCACTAAGGATCCTTCAAGAGGAAAAATATAAATAATTTTTTCTTTGATCTGTATTGTTCCCATCATGTTGAAGTACCTTTCGAGCGTGCATGTATTTTACCATCTCGTTATCCTGTTGTGATATCTTTTTCCTTAATATCTTCCTACTGGCTGATTTTCTCTTTGTATTCTGCTTGTTATAGCTGAATGGTGGTCAGCATATGGAGGAAGTTGCCCAAATTTGGCCCGGTTGGCTATCCGTGTCCTTAGTCAAACTTGCAGTGCTCATGGGCTTAAGCATCATCGAATCCCTTTTGAAAAATTGCATGAAACAAGGAACTGCTTAGAGCAGCAGCGGCTCAGGGACCTCATCTTTGTTCAGTGTAACTTGCAACTAAGACAAATGTACTTGCGACATCACTCATTTCTGGATTTTGCATTTAGCAAGAGAAAACTATGCCTTGGGCTAATTAATTTTCTTGCAGAGGTTATGACAGCAAGCAACAAGATTCTGCGCAGCAAATCTTATTCGAGTCTGCCTCCATTGTGGAAGAATGGATTACAGGAATCGGCACATTTTTGGATGACGATACCTATCCAGATTGGACGACACTTGATACACTTTCTGTAAACACGATGCCTTTAAGACCTCGGAGTGATGAAATCGAAGAGTTAGGTGCAGGTAATATCGTTTCTCGGATACGATGATCTTGTCAAGTAAGTTTCTTTCTCGCGTTATTTAATTAAATCTTTTTATGCAGGTTTTGATGATCATGAGATTTTCAACCGAGTGAAGGAGGGTGATGATGAAAATGCTGAAGATATTGCAGTAAGCTAGACGAAAACCATTTCTAATCTTGATAATCCTAGATGGTGACCAATGTTTTCTGCACGAATATCAACCAGAATAGTGTAAATTAATGTAATAATCAGTGACTATATTTATAGGAGCTGCTCTACCATCCTGTTACAAAAAACAGTAGAAACATAAAAGAAAATTAGATTTTTTAGAGAGGATTATAGGGTATGTTAACAATTTTTAAGGATTCACGATTAGAGTATGTAGAAAGTTGAAGCACAGCTGTCTGGCATTTTAAAGCAATGCTCACAACTGAATTCCAACACCTTCATATACTTTTGCTTACTGATTGCAGTCCTCCAAGTAAAAACTTTGGGAAAATAAATTCCTAGAAGAAAAGATGGTATCAAATAATTTCAACCATTTACAAGTATTAATTTTATTAATATTTTTCTTGAGTTGTAACTTACCTTTACTGATACTCTTTCAAAAGATTAGAAAAACTTGAGACTCATTCCACACCAAAATTATAGAAATATTCTTAGTCGTGTGAATTAGAAAAATACAGTTATAAGCTTTAAGAGTAACAATTATACTCACGGCAATGAAAGCTGAATTCTGGGGGGGGGGGTACATGAAGGAATGGCTCATGCATGGAATATGGGAGTCAGAAGGTTAATAATCGAGGTAGACAGCGGAGAAGCTACAGACAAAAGGGCAAAAGACAAACTTGACAATTACCCGGAATATTCAGCAGTGGTTACAACAGGATTTGTTAAAATATTAATTATGGTGACATATTTAGAACTACCAAATTTTACAGCAATACAGGTTAGTCCTCTTTACATTTGTGTTTTTCTTCAAAACTTGCTTCTTCCCTCAAGTTGAAGAATGAAGACACTATAGGTAGAACATATTTAGGACTTGGATCTTGAGCTAAGGCTTTGACTTTTCCTTTAATATTCACTGGAAAATCACAAATAAGCCAAGGCCTCTCGTATAATGAAAACCTTATTTTCCAACATTGTCTGATATATGCATATTCATATTTGTGATACATAGTTTAACAATTTTCAGCCTTTTCTTTCCTGGTTTTGAGTATCCCAATTCTATGTTTCATCTGATGGTGATGGTAATGATTTTGGAAAATGATAAATGTTACCTTGAGAATTATTAAAGGAAAATATAATTACATGAACAGAAACTGCAAATAATTCTCATGTTAATTGCCGTATTCAAATGGAAGAGAAACTAGAGCTAGTGCTTTTAGGAGCAATTAAGAAGCGCCAAGTTTATGCTTTTAGAGCAAAGCATGATTAATGAGAAGAATGGATCAATTAAGCCACTTGGACTTGCACAAGGCTTCACAACTACGTAACTTCGGCTTATTGACAAATTCCTCAACATTTGATCAATTTTATCACACACATGCTTAGGATCACCTCTAAAACAGTACGAGGCTCGGTCTTTTCGCTTGAGAAAGACATTTTGATTTCTTATGTTCAATTTTACTTGGAAACAAAGGAACGCTTAGTTTAGTTCGTGGAATATATACTTATTTATGGGACTAGGAACTTTAGAATACAATACACATCCAGAATGTTATAATATTTTATTTGGTTTAATTTATTAGAGATGTTGTAACACTTCCAATTTTTACGATGCTCGATATTAAAATAATATCTTAATATCAAATATCACGTTTATTATCGGATCAAGTTGATACCATTGAAGTATGAAAATGTTATTTTGTTGTTGAAGTATCAAAATGGAGGCTAAAGACTATATTGAAAAGAAAATATGAGGGTAAAATCATAACTTTACAAGTTGTGATGTGAAAATAACTAAAACTTTTGGACCCATTAATGATTTAATGATAAGGTTTAGAAATATCTTGATATGGGGAAGGGGGTTAAATGCATCTAACAGAAAAGGCCATGCAATGCACCCTAAACTTAGTTCCATGCATCAGCCGAAACAATTCACGAAAATGAATGCTCCACTTGCACTCCAACCATATCTCCGCATGCAAAACAAAATAAAAATAAAACCTACTTTCATTCATTCATATTATCAACCCCCAGGGTTTTCTACAGTATCAACAGCTTTTAAGCCATGCCTTCAACCCTAACAATTTTGACGTCATGTCATTTTTCAATATCATCTCCTTTTAACGCCGACTTCAAAATCAAAAGTTTAACAACGATTTGTTAGCCAACTATAATGTTTTACTTGCAAGAATTATACTCCTATAAAAATGTCAATATGTATAGAACGTCCTTGTAATATGTGTTTTTGTGGGTTTAATCTTTGATTTATAATTTGATCATTTCTAGTCGTGTTGCTTTTCAAAATATGTACATTCAACCTTAGGGGTGTAAATGAAACGAGCTTGAACGAATAAAATTGTGTTCGTATTCATTTGTTTATTTTTTAAAATGTTCATGTTTTGCTTGTGTTCTTTTAAATTTTTAATATCGTGTTTGGTTATTTATTTCTTCAAGTGTTTATAATCGGTTCGTTTAGTGTTCATTAACATGTTTATTTAACACTCGCAAACATGTTAGTTTGATGTTCTCAAACATATATTTGTTTATATGTCTGCCGACACGTTCGTTTAGCATTCGTGAATAAACTGGTGAAATTGAACCACCTTAAGCTCCTTAGACTTCAGAGTTTGAATTTCAAAGTTTTCCATGTATTCGATTTAGTTTCTATATTCACTTATATTTAAAATGTAAAAAACTAAAAGGAAAATGAGAACTGGGTAAACTAGTCAATAAACGAGCCAATAAAAATATTGTATACACATTTGTTTATGTTCGTTCGTTCATTAATTGAACATAAAAATTTATTCACATTTATTCATTTAACTTAATAAAAAAACATAAACAAATGTCGTATCAACGATTCATGAATAATTCATCAAACACTTGTTCATTTTCATCCCATTTCAACTTCCAAGGTAATTTTTTTCCTATTAATTCAACCAAATAATTTAGTGTTACTCTTTCTTAAACATAAAATGTTTCGATATATGCACCATTGGCAATTTTCTTAAGATGGACAAAGATTATATATATTCTCTGTTATTATTGTTGTTTTGAATAGTTTATGATGATTATTTATTTATAATTTTTTTAATTATCGATAACAAAGACATATTTTACATATATATTATTGTTTAAATTTTAAATCTCTAAAGGGAATAATAGTACTTTTATCATTAAAGTCATTCAATAGGTTATTATTATTATTATTTAAATGTGCTAAGGATTTATCGAACAATAAAACACGACAAACGTATACAATTCCATGATTAAATTGAGTGACTAAAATAATAGCAATGTAATAGTGGAGTTACTAGTAATAAATTTACACATAAAATTAGCAAGGTGAAGAGTGTAGAAAATATCTGGGGGTGAGCCCCCATAGATTTGAAAAAGGGAGGGTCACGTGGAATAGCTCACCTACTGAAAAATACAATGCTTTGGGCATTCACGTGGCAGTAATATTTTGAGGGGTCACCTAATGCTGTCTACTTTCCCCTTTCCCAGCTTTGATTTAACAACTACCTTACACGTGTCTCTGGGTGGTAACGTCTTCATCAAACGAAATAAATAATAAATGGAAAAATCTTTTTATCGCAAATTAAGGATGGTAGATAATTCCAAATCCCACTCGCAGTGGCCGGTGTGAGGGAGTGCCCGAAACAGGTATTGCTCCAGCAGGGAACGGAACCTTTGGATTCACGTCAATTAGACACGTGTCTAATGATGAATTCAGTGAAGTCTCGGATTTTCTGCAGAGGCGTCAATCGACCTTGACATTTGCTCCCTAACGTGTCCGTCTTTTTCACCTCCTCTCTATTACGTGGACGCTTTCACTGCATTCTTCGTTAAAGCAAAAACTATCTCCATTTAAATATATAAAGAATTCTTTTAAAAACATTTTTTGAATTCAAATTTTCAAAATTATAAAATAGGTATTTGAAATTATGCTTGCTTTTTGTAATTTTCCGTTAAATTAAATTTTATTATAAGATCTAAGGTTTTCTAAATTTTAAACTAAATTTAAATAGAAATTGAACATTTTGAATATAAATATTTTATAATAATAGCTTTTATTCAAAAATTATATATAAATTTTCAAATTCGGATACATAAAATTATTATTTAATTTTTAATGTAAATCAAACTGAAATATTTCAGTACTTTAACTATTGTAAATTAATCTGACTAAAAAATATTAGAAAATAATTAAATTAAAATTCAAAGACAAATATAAGTCCATTGAATGAATAAGTTAAATGAGAAGCTTATTAAGACAAATACAATGAGCGGCAAAGAGGGGAGTCGTCCCTCCCTAAGGACCACATTCCGAAAGCGTGTGCTCCGATGGTTGGCCAACGTGTCCGATTTCATTAATAACACTCTCTTGCACGTGTCATTTCTTCAACGAATCCGATGAAATAGACGGTGCCGATCATCTTCTTGAATTCAGTAAACCGACGTCACACCAAATGTACGTGTCGTGTCACTATACCCGAACGGTGACGGTCAGCCTGCCCGCTCTTAGGTGTGGCCCCCAGGTGAAATTAGAGCTTCTAACTACAAAAGGCTCTCCTTATATCTCCCCGCCAGTATTACGGGTTCTATCTGATTCTGCAACGACGATTCTGCATCGAAGAACGCTTTTTAAGTTTTTAATTGCTGAAAGAAGAGTAATTTAGTAGCCTAATGGCTGGAGTTTCCTGTGGAGTCGTCGGAGATAGTGAAGCGGTAGCTACGGTTGAGCCAAGCTTAGGAGCTGCTCGCCGTCGGAGATTGGACCTTCGTCCCTATAAGATAATAGCCGACGCCGCTGTTCAACCACCTTTAGAGAACGACCGGAAACGCAAGAAGCTGGATCGTGATCTAGTCCTTCCGGTATCTTCTCGGGACTGTGTTAACGCTGTCCAGAACTCGGATGATACTGAAATTCTACCAAAAGATGACGGTCTTAATAATGAAGGCATATTTTGTAATAGAACATTGAAATCAGAAACTGAAATTTCCGGTGGAGGAGGAAAGGAATGGCCGAAGTTCGGAATAGCTTCCGTTTGTGGAAGGAGACGAGATATGGAAGACGCAGTTTCGGTTCATCCTTGGTTTTGTAAGCAAAGCTCTCAAGTTCAAATTTCGCCGGATATTCATTTTTTCGGTGTATTCGATGGCCATGGCTGTACTCATGTACTAAACAAACCCTTAATTTTTTTTT